AATCTTTTATGAAACCAAAATGTTTTTGGGTGTCTGTAAACCACAAATTAATTTTGAATGAATGAATGAATGAATGATTTCTAAACGTAATTTTTGTGCTTTGAAACGTCAAAATCCGTTGCATCATGCGGTCATAGTCGCTTTGAGTGAGGAAATGTAGGATGAAGCAGTCATGTCATGGCGTGTCTGAAATGATACGACGCTGTGGTCTTCGTACAGTGCTTCATTTCGACGCTTAATAACCCCACAGTGAAAAAGTGGGTCACGCCGCTGCCCATACCCTGTCCTCAAATAGCTGAGCGAGCGGTTGTAGTGACAGCTGCCTGGAATCGGTATTGCAGCTTGCTGTAGAAACGCTTTTGGAAACTGCATTATGGCGTCTGCTGAGGACCCAAAGTGTAGTAAGTTATTTATAAAATACATTTTCCAAGGAAGCCTCCATCAAATTGATGGTGTTTTATGTTTTCACAAAATGACGTCAATGCTATGTGAAAATTTCCTGCTTGCATACCAGCGTTTTTTACTAAATTATTGTGAAAATTATGTTGGCTGAGTTGGTAGGTTATTAGGGCGTTCTTTGCACGGTTTGTACGGAAGTCTGCGACGAAGATCGGAAGTTCACTGTGATGTGATATGTTGGCGTGAACTGTACAGAACTAATTCAGGATAATGCCCAGTAGATGGCATCGTAGTTGGCGGTGTAGAGGCCTCGGACTGTGAGAACAGGCGACCTTCTGGGCCACTCATCCTGGCAACACGTGCTGCCTCAAGGTTACAAGTCATGATCCGTTCCGACGCCTTGCGACCAAAATAATTACGATTTGCGAAGGTCGTATGCCAGTCAGGATGAAATTCAGTGCAGAATAAATTTTGGGGACACATTCAGTTCGATTTCTAGTCGCTTCTTTCAGTTTGCTGTGTACGGAGTTGTATCGTGTAGTCTAAACCCAAGTGTATGGTACCAACTCGTGCTACATGTCCAGTCAACTGTAATATATTAGTGTAACTACTTTAAGAATTCCACAAATTTGAGTGAGGTTTGAACGTGATACCGTTTCCTCAACTTCTGCATCGTTTTGTTTCTCGCTATATCTGTCGATATGAAGATTTTCTTGTTGCTCGTTATCTTACCGATAGCCTTCCTCTCCCTAAGTTTTGAATCCATCAAATGATAGCAGACATATCACAGTAAGCTCCAATAAATTTCGGTCAACAGGTATTCTTGATTATCGTTTTCTGTTTTGTAATTTGCTATCAGGAGAAGTCCAAGTGTGTTCATCACTTCTGGGATGTGAGAACATTTTACTCGTGGCAACTAGATTCATCATCTGGCCCCATTACCTTTAAGAACTTTGTGTGAGAGAACTCTTATTCCCAATTGTCGGTTTGAAAATATTTTGCTTCTCCACCCTTGCGTTGACATCACCTCACAAAACTTTGATGATACTTCCGAACTTGATTGATTATTTCTCATAAAAGCTGACAATTGTTTCATGACATTAATCCTCGGTTGGTGCATGCAAATTCAGAACAATAATATGATACCAGCGGCGTCTTTGTGTTATATGCCGTTCCCTATCGCTAACAAAATCTGCCTCTTAAGTGCTGATATGATCCCCTTACTTAGAACAAAGGAGCTCGATCATTGCAGAGTGATGATCCCATTTTAATAGCAGAATGTTGGCTACTTTATAGTCAAATACGACTGCCTTCTGGTTTGTAACACCGTGTTATCTGTGTTTACCAACGTGTCAGAGGTACTTGCTGCGACCAGTACCTGTGAAACGTCGGTAAACGTCTACCAGACTCAATGGCGCTGCAACTCAGAAGACAGCCTTCTTCAGACTCACCGCCGTCAGAACCTCAAACGTGTCTTACAGTCGTCTGCAGACTCTGTGCCACGCTTGTTCCATCTCATCTCCACCAAACATAATTTACTTGTATATTGCTAATTCTCTTTGTTACGTTTTCAGAGATCCTGACCTTTGGAGACTTTTCTTGTATCGTATCGATTTCCGTTTGCTTAGGTCCCTCCAAAGAGTCCGTCAGTTTTGTAACATGCTGCTTTATGACCGCCTCTTGTCGGCTGTTCATTAAACATATTCGCAACTACCCTCCCTACCTGGAGGCTTCCTCCTCCTTTTGAAACTTGAGGGCCCCGAAGGGAGAATTGGAAAAACGAACGGATGAAGCGAACAGTTTTAGGATATCCCAGTCGGAACAGACCGACGAGTCCTTTGTCTGAGGTACATGATGACGATATCCTTACGTAAACTACAAATCAGTGCTATTAAATTGGAGGTCTATAAGATATTTACGGTTGAGTGTCTTCGAGAGAAATTGGAAGGAAGGTTGTGTGGTGGAAGTTACAAAGCAATTTTAGGGTCATGGAGGTATAATCGATTAATCGCAGCCAGCGCAAAGACTTCGATACCAGCACAGGAGGGGGTTTCGCGGTTTTAACCTCCCAACTCGAAACCAGATTGCGGCTGTCAGAGGGGTTCAGGGGCGTCCAGACCAAAGAGTGACGTTTAATTTTTTACCTTCCTTCTTTGCATTAAAGTTTATTGCATTCATCGGAACGAAATGATAAGTTAAATATTGTGACCCAAAAGATATTTTGCTTGTAACAAGAAGCGTAGTTATTTATGTATTTCGGTTTGGTAACTTGCTATTAGAGAAGTCATTTTGATGAGGGGGGGGGGCACCGCCCGAGGGGTCATATTGGAAACATGTACTTCGGGTTCCAAGAAGAAAGATTGAACGAAATTAGGTTAATGAAAGTTAATCTCAGTCAAGAAGGGTGTGTTTTGGACATCCGTGGGAGAAGCAAGGAATATATACACATTTCTTGTTGTAAAATTATTAAAACGCCAAGTAGAAATAGTTTCCTTCGGATGCGAACTGCATTCAAGTGAAGACATTATTCATTGGCGAGCATTTGTTGTACGTAACCTTCGTTTAACGTGAGCAGTTCCATGTATCGACTGTGCTAGGAAGTTTGCAAGTACTGTTGATTTCCATGTGCTTGGCAGCGCTGTACTTGCGGGGCGTACCATTAATTACCCAGCTTCCCCCATCAGCACTGGCCAGCAGCTTCGTAACACTACAATTATTGACCCTGGTCTCCTCCTCTGCACTCCGAGAACAGACCAGGCGAGCTCGCTCAACTACAGCCGTTACCACGGGAAATGCAGCATGGCCGTCAGACACGTCTTTATACAAAGGTCTGTCGTAAGAACTGTCCTTACGAGGTACTTGCTGCCTCCATCATCAGGGCTATCGATTCTCATTGCAACAGCCGAGGTGTGTCCCATTTTACAGTGCTAAGAAATTGAGCATTGCCCGAAGTAGGTGAATGCACAGATGATAAATATGATCTTGTGGGGTGTTCTGAAGCTGGAGTGTGTAACTTTATGCAATAAACACGTCTTCTTCAACTACAAAAGAAAGACGCTTACCCGTTCGACCTGTTGGATAATTACATTCCGGGTTTCGGGTGGTTGAGGAACCGGGGTAGATTAGTCAACATAGTGACTGACTACTGATTGGACGACTGGGGTTCGATTCCCGACGGGGGCAGAGGATTTTGTCCTCTAGCCTCTGCGTCCAGACCGGCTCTAGGGCCCATCCAGCCTACTACCCGGGGGTAAAGCGCCCCCCCGGGTGTGACGCTGACCACTCACCTCCATCTAGTGTCGAGGTTAAGAATGATTAGGAGAAATATACCTCCCCCCAAGCGCCTACATGGCGTGTAGCGGGATATTGAGGCAGGAAATGACTGAATTTTAAGCACCTCCATATAAATCATGCAATTGGATTCTACCAGTCTTGGTAACTTGATTTATTTTTCGTTTTAGGTCAGTACGAATTTATCTACTTACGAAGTTTCTCATAAAATCACTAAAATTGCAAAGGATATAGGATTAGAAAGAATGTTCCATGTTTTATTTTTATTATGGTCAGTTTTCGTGTGCAATTAGATAGCATTTTACTGAGCATACTGTTCCAATGTCTCACATTTAACCTCATGAAATATATAATTATGTAAACCTGAAGCGTCTCCCCCAGGTACTGAAAACTGGTTGGGCGGGAGGGTACGAAATATTGATCAGCAGAAGGGTTGTGGACACTGAAACAGGGAGGGGAGTTCTGTGCAATTGCAAGTTTTGGCTTCGACAAGTGGGTGCAGCTGCTAGTGATGTCACCAGCTTTGCATAAACCTGCAGTCGATTGATTCATTTATTGGTTACTCTGTTTTAAATTATTCCAGAACTCAGGAATTCATTTTTGTGAAGGAAGGGTGCACCACGCTAAAATCAGGTGTTAATTAACGGAAGACAGGTTTCGCATTGCGCATTCTACAGCAACCTGAAGAACCATCCCTTACTGCTAAGGACCTAATATTATATTTAGTTATTTCTGTCTTAATATTTGGTATTCGTTAAATATAATGTCCATTTACAATTCATTCAAAAACTGAAATGCTACCGCTTGTAAGCCTAGACAGAGCTACGAGGATAATATTAAAATGGAATTTAATACATCAGATTTATAAGTGGTGAATTGGACTGAACTTACTTGGTGTTTAGTCAAGTGGTATTTTTCTTTATTTATTTGTTTGTTTGGTAGTGGTGAGCCAGAGGGTTAATTCGCCCATTGGAAGACGTTTGTGATTACAGTGATTAATTTTCTGTAGTCATCAATGCGCTGTTTCAAGTAGTAGCCAGTAAAGCTCAAATCGCTATGCTGATCGCCAACATCCGGAACGGATAGCCACTTTAAGAAGAAGAAGTCATAAATGTCAAGCGGAGAATTAAGTATATCATTAAATATTAGAATTTTATAGCCCCAGTGTGTAAAATTCTGTGAATACGCTCAGGAAATTTTAACGTCAGTAGAAATGCAGTTACAGAAATAAACTTCCTTCGTTTGCTTTTGTTTGCCTGTTATTGTTCTCTTGTTACTGTCCGTATCAACTGTCTTTTCTCTTTTTGCAGTGTCATCTGACCTCGCAGTGGAAGAGCGACACATGTTCGCAGGTCAGTAATATCCCCATATGCCTATTATGCACTTTAAGCGTAGTTCTCTAGTTGTTCAGGATGTTATGAAGTTGGAAATATCGTCAGTTACATTGGGTTCTGTGTTTAGAGCTCTTTTATGGTTAGAATTCTCACAGAGGGACGTAATTTGAACACACGGAGAAATTAAAGAATGAATTTCGATTTTAATTCTCGGTCTATAAAAGTCTTAAGATTTACGCACGTAAAATATTATGATAGCGACTGAAATGACTCAGTTTGAACCTTAAGTGTAATCACCACGACTATTAATAGGTTGTGGGTCTGTTCACGGATATAGGACGACACACGCCCTATTGCCCCTTCTATTTTGTTTATATTTTCATTCAGAGCACGTATAATTGCAAAAATAAATCGCTCAAGAAAATAAAATAGCGATTTTATAATGCCGGGTTGTATGTCCCTAGTAGGTTACACATGTTTCCTGTTCCAATTGTCTACAAATGGAAGTCAGAGAAGTCGAATTAGTGTATTTAATATTTATTAGAAGTATCCTGCTGTGTAATATGATATAATTATATTAAAAATTAATTCCATCCGTCTTTGCAGCGTATTTGTTCAGGTGTGTAATTTATCGCTTGTCACTACGTGTTTCGATACTCGTCTTTTCACTGTATGGTCCTTGGAATTTTTGTAATGGCAAAATCGATATAATTTGGATCGAGATATATATTTTACCCAGACTTCAGTATGTTATTACATTTCTGTGATGCTGTGTTTTATCTGATGGAAATTAGTCAATCGAACTGTTTGTATGTACAGAAATGTTCGGGATATCACAAGAAGTTGAAAAAATAAAAGTCGGTTAAACGTTCCGAGTTTCTGACGGCCCCGTTAACAAGAATTTCCCGCTGAGACGGGCAGTAATAGGAGACCCCGAATGGGAGCTCAGTTACAGGTATCACGAAGGCGCAGGTTCAACACACGTAACGTAAAAAAACACCGTTGAACATAGACCCGATACATTTCAGCGTGGATTGTATTTTTCACATGGTCTCCTATCGATGATTTGTGATAAATTTATGTTTATTGATACTTTTATTCACTTGGTGCATTTTCTTACCCACGTTAATAACTAACAAGAATTGTTTATAAATACAACTAAAACCATTGGTACAAAGTTTTGTTTGTTGTCAAGTGTGAGTGTTGTAAATTAAATAAAATAATTTTGAGACATACAAATCATGGAGAAAACTGCATAATGATGAGCTTAAAAATTTGTACTCCTCCCTCAATATTGTCAGGGCGATTAAGTCGAGAAGAATGAGATGGGTGGGACATGTAGTGCGGAGGTGTGCTCCGGATATTGGTTTGGAAGCCTGAGGGGAAGAGACCGCTGGGGAGACCTAGACGTAGATGGAAGGATAATCTCAGGCGGGATCATGGGAGATAGGAGTTGAAGGAGACTGGAGTTTGTTGGCCCAGGACAGGGTCCGGTGGAGAGCTTTGGTTAATTCGGTGATGAACCTTCGGGTTCCGTAAGCCATCTCGTTAGTTAGTTAGAGACATACAAATGCACGTACATAAAATGGAACTTTTCTATTTATACCACCAACCCTACGTAACACCTGAAGTCAAATCTGGCTGGAATATTCTTAGAATCTTATCCAGTCATAAACATTCGTGTAAGAAATTCAATCTTAGGTTCTGTTGACAGAGAATTAGTAAATGTTACGTATTTTATATCAGTGGTCCAACTATCCTCCTATTCAATGGATTACTGGGACATTTTACACCGGTGTAAGACGGCCAGAGCACGAAGCTGACCACTGACCTCTTACCTCCATGTAGTGCCCAGGTAAATAATTTGTGGGGCTACACCCCCTTGCGTATTCATATCGTGGTGCTTAGATCCTGTTTCTTACCGTTTCATATAAGCGTACAGTTACAGGAGGTTCCGCGCTGGCTGACACCTGTTTCAGAAACTGAATCAATTCCTGCGTTCACACGTCAGAACAGCCAACACTCGCTTTTGGAATCGCTAGGGCCGCTCGGTGTCTTCTTGCCTCGCACCCTACGCGGAAATGGAAATGCGTTTTAAGGTAAAAAACCGTTAGAAGAATATCGCTGGCTGCCACCTTGAAATCTTTGTGTCCCAGTTCCCCTTTTTTATACCACCCTCTTCTCTATTTTTACTGGGGTCGTTTTTTAGATAGATGCCGTGGAAGGCAGAACGAGGGGAGATCTCAAGGTGGAAAACCACAAGGCGTTCAGGAAGTAGAGACTCGTAAGTCAGGTTGAGAATGAATTTCATAACACCTGGGAGAATTAATACAAGATTGTAACTGTAAGTGGTAGGTAGGCGAAATTTTATTAAATTTTGTTTGTGTTGATTTTTAATAGTACTAC